CAATGTGTTTCATACTATGCTTCAGTTAAAATTCTATGAAGACAACTATAATCAAATTTAAAGGTTTTCGATGATTTTTTGTTACATTGACGTGTAAACATTCTATTATATATAATTAGAACATGAGTTTATATTTTTGTACTATTATCCTCAGCTAAAATATTATACCTCCCTATCATTATCTTGAAGGTTACCAAAGAGAAACTCAAAACCACGAAAAATCTCTGCAACAGGATCAGAAGAATACCCATACGATCACAATTCGTAGCCACACGCACATCGTAGCGTGGTTACATAAGAACGCGCGGGTGTCCGTTGTTATCTGATTGTCTCCATGGACCTGGCCAGAAATCGTTTCACGAGAGTTATGTGACCGTCATTACTACTCGGCGTGGAAGGGAATGAAAAAAAAAAATAGAACTACGAGAAACATTTCGTTTCTCTTTTCAATTCCTCCGTTCGGTTCGGTATGTTCGTACAAAACGAAGATTAAACGTTCCAGTTTCGTGCCGAATTAATTATCGTTCAAACTAAAAGTCAAACTATATGTATAGCATTGTCATGCAAAGGCTATGACTTTGTAATGGAATGGACTGGCGCTTCGTATTGTGTAAGATGTAAAATTAATAACAGAAAACTATGACTGTTTTCACTCGCGTCACGTTACGAGCTTGTCGGTGATTTGTTCACCTATAAGCCTCGTTTGTTCGTTTCCATCAGAATTGTGACGTATAAATAGAGTTCTACATGTAATGTGCATACTTGTCCGAATGTTTGTAAATCTTTAATATTACACGTGCAAAGTCGATATTGCAAGTGGGTCAACTATGCATATTTCGATGATAGAACTGTATCACAGCATTCTGTTCTGATGAAGTTCAGATTAAAACTATCTAACTTTCATTTAAACGGTTTGATCTTGAGAGAGACAATTTCCCTATCAGTAATCAGGATCAGTTATGATGAAACGAAGAACAATATGTCTATTAAATGAATATGTGTCTTAGAAGTACAATTGCGCGTATTTCACTTCAGATTAAAAATTATTCGAGTCGGAGATAAGCGTCTCGCAATCTCACAATCAGTGACACATGAAATGTTCAAATCTAATAAATTTCATTTATGTTTATGCTACACTTACGGGGAGGAAAATGACGTGATTGTATATAGTGCAGCGGCACGTTAGTCAACAGTGATTTCCCAACCTCGCTTCCCTAGAATTTGTAAATCAGTGCGAAGCGGCTGCGTGTGGTGATGCAAACGTGTCGCCCGACATATTGACGCCCACGTTCGCGAACATAACTGCCAAGTGTAATTGACTTTGTATTAAGATTTATTCGGCCTGCGACGATTCCTTGACAAAGATTTCCCTAAGCTTTATCGACGTGGCGACCACCACGATGCTGTCTGATTAAACATAATATCATAGTTCATTATTTCGTATAGAAGCACTCATCATTATTAATAGGAAAAGAATTTTAAGAGATTTATCTTATTATAATTTGCTTTTATTGAATCAATAGAAATGAGTCAATGATTGTGATATATGTTCTCCGGTATTACATAGGATCATTCCGGGACAGATAGACGTAGTAAAAAAAGAGTTGATTAAATGTATTATTACCATAATTTAACTATTAACTTTCTAATTATAATTTGAATGAAAGCTTCGACTGGACGTATCTTATATCGTGTCGTAGTCAATGTATTATATGGGGGAGGAGCGAACGTGAAATTACATCCCCACTATTTCTCGTCGTCGCAGTGATTTTTCGAAATTTTTCAACGGCACCCGTGTCGACGCGTGGGCGTCGGTGCTTTCTCTTCCGTTTGTAGAACGCTCGGCAGAAGAAGCGCGCACGGGCGTGCTCGCCCGCTCGCCAGCGACCGATATAAACAGGAGACAAAACTAATTAGCTA